CACAGTTTTTAGCTTAAATAAAAATCATCTACTTTGATTTGAATTGAACAATGATTGTATTTCATGCACGAAAATGTTGTTTTACCAGTTTCCTAACACAATTTTGTAATCAGGTGTTAAAGTTGTATTTGAGAGGTGGGAAGTTCAGCTGTAGTGGGGCAGCAGAGACTCAGCTTCATTTTGCAATATATGAGACAATGTTCCATTCGCCATGATGGCTATTTTCCAACTCCTCACAAGTATAAAGCTGGCTTTTGTTTGGTATCTTTATCTTTTGTTTCAAAGGTTAACAGCAACCGCCGACTTTGCACACAAATAAGCTTTTAAAAGCTTCTCCCCGAGAACAAAACAAAAGTGATTTTTCTTAAGCTGTGATTTTATTTTGTGAATTTTACTTTTTTTTACACCATGTTTTTAAAGTCAACATGGATAATATTAGCTGATAAACTTAGCATGCACATCAATAGAGTACATCAATGTTTGCAGAAATATCGCGACAGCAGAAACATGTAGCTTCATCAAACTATAAAACACATCATATGCAGACAGGAAGTGTTGCTGAAGCTCTACTGTGAGCACTGGTCAGGGTCCAGGGTTTGAGTGACGGGGCTCTGTCCACTCAGACTAGCCTCACAGGTCACTGAGCCCACCTTCCTCCACTGGTCTGCAGAGAGGCTCAGGGTGCTGCTCCAGCTGTAGCGGCCATCTGTCCTCAAGACCTCCAGGCTGGTTGAAACCCCTGAGGATGTGCTGGTGCTCCCCACCTTCCAGCCCAAATTCCAGTTTGACGGAAAGCCCCCGGTGGCCAAACACACCACAGTGGCACTACTCTGTTTGTCTTCCTCTTTGGATGGAGGGAGGACAGTGAGGGTGGGCCTCACCACACCCACTGGAGGAGAAAAGGTTGAAGATAATCGAGAAAAGAGATACAAATGTACAAACATCTGAATAAATATATTGTCAGTGATTATTGATCAAATCTTTTTTTTTATCATGTAGTTAATAACTTGAAATTGTGATAATTTTCATATTTGAAACTGACAAAGCTAAAGCATTCATGAGAATACAGTTAAAACTTCACATCTGTTTCTTTCACTTCCTTTAAACTTAATTTCAAATTGATCAACCATGAATAAAAACTTGATGTAAATATACTTAGTAAAAAAAAATTAAGTCGACAAAACATAATTCAATATTTGTTTCTATTTTAAATAAGTAAAAATACATTTTAATTTAAAGTGAGCTAAAACTTCACTATCTCAGATTTTAATATTTTAACCGGATAATATTTAAAGAAGCAAAAAACAACCAAAAGGAACATTAAAAATTGTTTTCTGTAAATTTAGTTCTTTAAAAGACTAAATGAATATTGATTGAAGAAAAGTTTATTCTAAAATTATGACATTGAGTTAATAATAATCATTGAATTTGATCACAGTTCTGTTTAATAGATTTAAAAAATATGCTTAATAAATACTACATTTTATAAAAATGACAAATTTCTGGTACTTACAGCCAACGATGAGTTTGGTTCCTCCGCCAAACGTGTACCACAGTGATACAAACTCATTAAGTGGCCGTACAAAAACCTCCTGCACTCTGAACAAACCTCTAACCACTGAAAATGAAACTTTTTGTCATGTAAAACATCACAGTACAACTGATTACATGTAGAAAATGATTTAACTAAAGTGACTTAAAATAATTTAATGAATTCAAATCATAATTATCATAATTGTATTTTT